CCCCCCCCCCCCCCCCGAATGGCTTTATCAGCAGATGCTGCCGGTGGCAGCTCCAACATGTGTGCTGCTGGAGTCCTGCTTTTGGAAACCCGGCTGGGCGCTGCCTGGGTGGCATTCCCGTATCCTTGATAAGGTATGGAGAGGGCCCTAGCCAGGTCAGGATGGAGCCACCTGGAACGATAATTGGCATCACCTAGGAATTTTTTTAAAAGGTGCTCGGATTTGTGACACAGGACAGCTTCCCTTGGGGGAAAAAACAGCTCCTTTTTCTTTCTTTTCTTCTTAGGCAGGGACAGTTGGTGTCCCAAAGCTGCATCCTCCAGATTTGCCCCATTTAACACCCCCTGGGTTCTCCTCTGGGGCCTGGATCACAGCCATTGTTTGAGTAATCCTGGGGGAAGCTTAAGAGACATTTAAAGAAGGTGTTCAAATCATTCTAAGGCAAGCATATCTGGATAATAAAACTTATAAAACTTCTTATTTAGCTGTTACACATTTCTGATACTCACTGGTCTCCAGAGAATTAAAATGTTTTTCTGCTTGATGGCGGGGCTCTCAAAATGTCTGCGAATCAGGTAGGAGGAAATCAGTTATTACGGTTTCCCCATGCCTCCTGGAAAATATGCCCCCCCCCCAGGCTGACCCAGGGCCCTGTTGTGGGGTGGGGTCTGCCAGAATCCTTAAAGATATCAGGACTTTGGGGTCTGCAGAGGGGAACATCTCCAGCAGGTCCATGTTGGTTATGGATTAGGAATTCTGTGTGTGAAGAACAAAAGAAGATCCCTCCTGGACCAGGGCGAAAATCTATATAGGCCCCGTTCACACGGAGGATTTGCCGCGCTAAAGGCATGAATGTCAGGCGGATTTTCGGGGCACTATCACACCACAACATCTGGGAAGCGTAGCGCACCCGTGGCCAAGCTGTGGCATCCCACTGAAGATGCGCAGTAAAAAACTACCTCGGAAGGTGCACTAGTATCCAGAAAACGCGGGGCAGGGGTGGGCGTCTAATCACGGGAGCGCTAGTATCCCGTGGCATCAGCGCCCATCTACGTCCCGTCGCAAACCAGATGGTTTTCGTAAGCGCATGCGCACAAACACGTAACTGAAAGCAGTGCTGCTCTGCGGAACTGCGCATGCGCACAAACGTGAAATGCTTGCTGCGCTGCTTCTTTGCCACGCTCCAGCATCGCCGTGTGATTGCCAGCTAACAGCCTAAGCGTGAAGACTCGGGGGACCGTGTGATCGGGCTACCGCGCTTTATTTTGCTCTGGGGCTCCGGGGCCACGCCTCCCCCCTGCATTATCTGGCCCGTGTGACCAGGGCCATAGCCCAATACCCTGTTCCTCACGGTGGCCAGCCAGATCTCTGGAAGGTCACAAGATGGCAAGACTGAAAACTCAAGGATGCTAAAGGCTTGAACCAGGCCTTTCTTCTCTAGTCATGTGGCGTCTTTAAAAGAACACTCTGTAATATGGAAGAGTGCCTCTGAGCATGGACAGAGTGCTTTCCCTTCCATCACTGAGCAATTGAAGCCTGTCTCTGCACACATCAGATTAAGAGTCGGGGCCTCATGGCAGGGCAGGCAGCAGATTCCCGTGCAGCTACATCAGCATGTGCCCCAGATGTGGCAGAATCCCATTTACCAGCCAATTTGCCACATCTCCAAGGAGGTGCCAGCCAGCCCATCCATATTTTACTAGCTCTACCCAAATTGTTGTTCTGCCAGGTCTAAACAAGCAGATTCTGCCAGGATGTCCATGTGTAGTGGATACTGGGGGGAAATCGTTGCTTAGCCAGGAAATTCACTGGTTATCTTGGTCCAGTTGCTTCACTTTACTCTCCAAGGTTGTTGTGAGAATAAAATGGGGCCAGCGGTATCCTGGAGGAGGGGTAAAATGAAGAAGGAATACTGTGTGGGCCATTATAGCTACACCAAACAGAACAAAAGAAAGCTAATTGCAGGAGGACCCTCTTGTAACCTTTTGTTTTGACCGTAAAGCGGATTTTTACTATGCAACCCAATCGATACTGTTTTAAAGCACAGATGAAAAGCAGGATTCACTTTCTGACTTGACGGCGCCTCTTTCCCCTTATCCTCAGACCATCTGTCTGTTGTGGAGCTGCCCTTCCATTTCATTTCTGTGCCTTTGTTTGAGAAATCAATGCTTCATTATTCAAAGAAGGGAACCTCATGTGGCGGGTGGTGGTGATGTTGTGCTGCTGAATCAGGCATGTCCCTCGCACCTGCTCATGGCTCTGTTAGCCCTTGCAGGGGAACATCGACAGGAGATTTAAAGGTTATGCTTTTCTCCGTGGAATGAGAAGGTGCACATGGAGGCCTCCCTACCCTGGAACAAGCTGAGCTGGTGGCTGTGAGGCGACAGCGGATGACAGACAGATCTGATCAGTTCGTTGGATCAGTACAAAAGTCCACCTGGCAAGGACTCCCCTTGTTGGTCTTGTTCATCAAGAAGCTCTCCTGCAAAAGTGAAAAGTATGCAGACGGAGAGTGATTTCAGCTAAGCATACCTTTATTTAGTTCAGGACAAAGACGAAGGGACCAGCTCGCAGGCTGGTTTATATATGTTCAGAAAACCCGCCACCAAGTACACCTAAACACACCCCCTACTCCCGATAGGCTATTTACAGTAACCGGGCGGCCATTGGTCTCCCGGCTGAGAAGCTGGCCCTCTGATTGGGGCCGGCTAGGATCCTACGGACCCATTGTCTTTGGACATGAAGCTATTGAAGAGTTGTGCCTGGCCAGCCCGGGCAAGTCCGGGCATGTCAGGCTGAGTACATTACACCCCTCCCCCCTTGGTTCAGAAGGCACCCACAGACGAAGTCCTTCAAGTAGGCGGGTGGCTTCTTGGGGCGCGTCGAGCGTCGGGGCTCCGGGGTAGCGATGGGTTCGGTCTCGGGGACCCTGGGAGCCGAGGGGCCTGGGGCCGACGAGGGCGCCGAGGAGGCAGGACAGGCTGGCACCACGGTGTGAGGTGCCTCTGGTTCCTCGCGAAGACGAAGTCCTTCAAGTAGGCGGGTGGCTTCTTGGGGCGCGTCGAGCGTCGGGGCTCCGGGGTAGCGATGGGTTCGGTCTCGGGGGCCCTGGGAGCCGAGGGGCCTGGGGCCGACGAGGGCGCCGAG